AAATGGGCTGTGGAACGGATTAATTTCGCAAGTAGAGGTACCACTGTACTAGCAGAGCAAGAATTACTGAAGACTTATCTAGCACAGCCCTCATGAGAGCACACCATTTTAACATGCAGAGAACTGCATGTTGAAAGATTCTTCATTTGATGCAGATAGTCTGTCCTTGGAAAGCTTATAAAGAGACCTTCTCTCTGAAATGATTGCTTTCCATGACTAGGATGTCTGTCAAAAGGTGGGAGGGATTTAAAATTTGACTTTGGGAGTGATTTTTACATAAGAATGCAACAAAACCAAAATGCAATAAAACCATGTTCTTCTATTCAACCCCTACCTACTTCTAGTGTGCTGTTCAAACTGTGCAGCCCACAGGGGTGAAAATTGGCCTCCACATCTCCCATGTAGTTGCTCACACATTCCACAACTTCACAAAAAGGATTTGTGTACTGGACATTGGTGGACCAGACACAACAATCAATGCATGTTATCTCACCTCCACTGATTAAAACAGGGACTTCAAGAGGAAAAATAATAATAAAAAAGAAGAAATTTATAGCTCAGAACAGACTTTGGGATATTCAGCCCAGGCCTACAGAGTCTCTGGACCCAATTTTTGCCTATCAGCCTCAGCTAATATAACTAAGAGTATGGGATTTTGAATATCATAGTATTGCATCTGGAGAACCAATGGTTTTCTCCCACAGCTTAGCCTCGAGACATATTTCCTGGTGGGGAAAATCTGGCACCAATTCTCTTCTTGTAATACAAAGAGAATGAATACACATGTGCACCTTGATTAGTGTAGGTAATTAAAACTACTGCCTATCTAAGACCCCCTCTGAGCTTTACTGACCAGTTATATACCATGTTGTTGGGGACTGTGTTCAATGCTGTCTGAAAGCCACTGGAATGGAACAGTGGGTAGAATACTCCTTCAGCAACTAAATGTATCTGTCCTGCCCACTCTGAATTTAAGATTATCCTATAAATAGGTTAATTAAACAAAAGCTACCAAAACCTGAAGAGTAGCAGTTCATTTTTAGACTTACTTGTTGCTCATCATTAGCACCTCGAGTTCTTTGACATTGTGTACCAGAAATTTCCTGAATCCTGAAGGCAGCATGTGCTTTGTCTTCTTATTGCTACCATACCCAATGTTGGGCATTAAGATTTGGCCCTTGAACCTTCTGCGAACTCTGTTGTCAATGCCTCTTGGCTTGCGCCAGTTACGCTGTGAACATTCAAAGAGAAACAAGGGACATCACCACCTCAACATCTGCATCAAGACATCTGAATTCTAACGGTTTACAACAGATGTAGTACAAAAAACCACATGCTTGCAGAATGTTTAAAACTTACCTAAGGGCTTACACAAACCTGTTCATTACAAGGAGACCTACCTTGATTTTGACATAGCGATCAGACTGATGACGAATGAACTTCTTAGTCCTCTTCTTGACGATCTTAGGCTTGATGAGAGGTCTGAGAGCAGGCATGGTGTCTAAGAAAAAAAGCACAATTGTGTAAGACATCACATAGAACAAGCAATAATTTGTAGCAGAGTAACTTCCATTTGCTAGCTTGTTTTAGAACTAGCAACGGAATGGGTAATTTTCTGCAGCTTCTCTTCCTCCCGTGTCCGAAGCTGGAAGAGTATGAAAAACTCTCCAGATGCGATCCTAGGAGGTCAGCAAATTAAAAATTGCTGTTAAAAATTCTACAGAATGACCTGTATTTAAAGCAGGAGTGCCTAACTTGTAACAGTGTTAATGGGTTGAGAAGTCCATCAGCCACACCACTAGCTATGGAGGACACTGCTGATGAGAGTTGAAGCCTGACATCTGGATAGCTATAAATTGCCCACAGCGGAGATTATGTTTCAAAAGCTACTGTTTAAAAAAAAAATGTCATATGGTCTTGAATATCAAAACACTTCAATCTCCATTAACTGGGGAAAAAAAATTTGGGACAAGTATCAGAACTGTTGGAAATGCTTTTGTACAGATACATAAATATCTATTTGATATTAAATCACAGGATAAATTCTCCCAGAATTATTCACTACTATTTTGGCTAGGGCTGTTGGGAATTGTAACTGAATAACACCTGGGGGTGGTGGTGAATAATTCCTTGTTGTTGTGTGCCTTCAAGTCGTTTCTGACTTATGACGAACTATCATGGGTTTTTTCAGCAAGACATGTTCAGAGGGGGATGGTTTTTGCCTTCCTCTGAGACTGGGAGAGTATGACTTGCTCAAGGCCACACAGTGAGTTTCTGTGGGGATTCGAACCCTAGTCTCTGGAGTCACAGTCCAATGCTCAAATCACTATCCCACACTGGCTCATACAGTTCCTACCCCATAAAGATTATGTGCAGATGTTAATACTACCAAAGTATCTAAAATATTTCAAACTGTCTCTAAGCTCTCATGACACTGTAGGAACTAAGGTGGTATATCTGTCCACGTTGGTGGTACTGTCCTTTACTAAAACAATTAATAAACCAAAACCATAACTATTATCTATTATGTAATTCAAGAGAATTACAGGACTAGATCTAGAAGAAGCTCCATTCATTGTATTATTAGGCAAACCAGGTACCTTTACAGCCAGTTTTGACGCAAGATGGAGAAGTAAAGAAAATTCCATTATGCTGATTGCTGGGCACCAGCATAATATGGGATATAGAGCAATGACCACAACACATCCTCAGCAAGACTGAAAAGCCATCCCAGTTTAGGTGTTCACATTTTTCAACCTTTTAGCATCAATGGCAGGGGACATTTTAAAAGGTCTGATCCAAGATCGATTCAGGGTTTAGGATGCAGAAATGTATCTGTCTTGCCCACTCTGAATTTAAGATTATCCTGTAAATAGGTTAATTAAACAAAAGCTACCAAAAAAAGGAATCAGAATCATGACCAATTAAGACTCTGTCAATGCATATATAATGAGTTTGTAACTTATTTCAGATGTGATCTCCCCCAATACTTAATACTTTAACTCTTCCTAACATTTAAGAACTGCTAGCTTAATCTTGTAAATAAATCCCCAGAACAGTGCTGGCCTGTAAAAAAACTTCACTAGCCTTCCTGGCACTGGTTGAGAAAGAGCAGATTTTGACTGTTTTTGCAACAGACCCTGCCCTTTTTGATGGGTGCAGATGAGGGAACCTGTTCATGACACCCCATTTGATCTCTATGACCGGCACAGAAAAGTAACTCTTCTGATCCTCCCAAACCAGTCTGCTCCCTTGCTTCTATACGGAAGCCCACACATTCACCCTAAAAGTAAATCCGTGCCTTTTCTAACCACAAGGCTAGTGTTTAATTCAAAGGTTATGCAAGGTGTCATCAGTCTGTCAAGGTCTTGCAGCCCAATCCCATGTAAGAGGAGGGATGGGGTGTGTTTGGCATCCAGATGTTGCTCCATCAAAACTCCCATCATTGCTTCCCACCAGCTAGAGCTAATGGAAACAGGAGTGCAGAAACATCTGAAAGGCCAAACATTCCTCGCCTTCCTATCCAAGATCTGTCTAAGCCCACAGAAATTCAGTGGGCTTAGTGTGGTGTGGTGGCTTAAGCATTGGATTACGACTCTGGAGACCAGGGTTCAAATCCCGGCTCAATCATGTAACCCCAATGAGTGACCTTAGGCAGAGAGGAATAAAGGCTCTGCAGAAGAGCCCTCACACAAGTCCTAAGAGCAAGATATACCTAAGGATATGAACAGGTGGAGAGGAGTCACATTCTGCAGCTCAGCCCCAACCCTCCCATGTTCACAGAAGTGCAGCCCTTGTTGCTGTGTGCCTTCAAGTCATTTCTGATTTATGGCAACCCTAACACAAACCTATCATGGGGTTTTCTTGGCAAGTTCCTTCAGAGGGGGTTTGCCACTGCCATCCTCTGAGGCTGAGAGAGTGTGATTTGATCCAGGTCACCCAGTGGGTTTCATGGGTGAGCTGGGAATCGAACCCTGGTTTCGAGAGTCATAGTCCAACATATGTATACAACTTTATGGCCTGAAGTTCTGCATGTACAACCAAGAAGCTTACAAAATGCAGGCACAAATTTCTTGTTTTCTTCCAGGGAGAAATTCATTTGCTTCCTTCCATACTAATGGCTAAAGCTGAGAACTGCTACTGTTGGGGGCCCTAAACATCTAAGCTTGCAGCATGTTTTAATCCTTAAAGGACTTCAAGTGCAAGGCACTGGGGCTCCTTTTGAAAAGTCCATACTTCTAAAATCAAAATATCAATTCTTTGCTCTCAATTATGATAAACACAGTGCACCAAATTGTTCAGGAACAAGGCAATTTACCCCTACACCGTATACACCTTAGGGGCAAGACAGCAATTATCCTCACAAAGTTCACCAGTTTATCAAATTCTTGTAATAAGGGACACATCAGGCACACACACACACACACGCTTATTTTCTGACTGTTCTACATATAAAATTTAAAGAAACTGTTAACAGTTAAGTGCAGCTTACATCTCTACAGGGATGCAATTATAGTAAAACTGGCAATAAACTCACCTGGTTTTACTTTGGATTAAAAAGGCATTAAAATTGCATTGTACATGATTCTCTTCTCCAAGTACAACCTAATAAACCGAAGCATCAATGGTATGCAAAAATACAAGTCTTTTTTAAAAGCAGGGGGGAAAACAACCAGTTTTTTTGTTTTGTTTGTTGAAACTAGCTTTTAGTTCAGCTGTTACATTACCTTATATAATAATTGTTCTTTTAAAAAGTTCTCTTTTAAAGCAAGTGGTTTTGGTTGAACTTATGCTAATTGAAGAATCTGTTTCCAAATAGCATTTCTTTATGTTTTCTCTTTGTACAGCACTGTGTATATTGAGAGCGCTTTAGAAATAAACTATAATAATAATAATACTTACTATGAAATAAAGTGATTAAAAAGAAGCAACTGACATGGGATACTGGTCTAACAATGGAGCAACTGCCAATAAATTGTTAGGAGTTAAAATGTTTAAAACAGTCATTGGTGTTCCAGTAAGAGGGGTGGAAAACAACAATAACCAGACTTATCAATTTTAAAAAGCAAGAGTGTTGTTGTTTTTTAAGGTCATTTGATTTAAACCAGGGGTAGGCAACCTTCCCCCCTTTAAGGGCCGAGGGACTTCAGCTCCCAGAAGCCTCAGCCATGTTGGCCAATAGCTCCTGGGATTCTGGGAGCTGAAGTCCCTCGGCCCTTAAAGGGGAAAGGTTGCCTACCCCTGTTTAAACCAACCTTGGCTGCATCCACACCTCAAAAATAATCCAGGTTGACTCTGCTTTAACTGCCATGGCTCAATGCTACTGAATTATAGGAACTGTAGTTTTGTGAGACCTTTAGCCTTCTCTGTCAGTTTTCTGGTGCTACCAGAAACTATAATTCCCAGAATTCCATAGCACTGAACCATGGCACTTAAAAGTGGTTAACAGACTACGTTAATTTCTGCCATGTGCATGCAGCCCTTGTTTAAACCAGCCAACTTGGTTTGAAAGTGGCAACCCTAACCCTGCCACCAAGGTTTCTATGGAGAAGGACCTTGTACATACAGTGGGTCCTTGGTATCTGTTGGGGTTTGGTTCCAGGATCCCTTGTGGGTAGCAAAATCCATGGATCCTCAAGTCCCATTAACTACAATGGCATAGTAAAATGGTGCCACTTATAGGATACAACAAAATCAAGGTTTGCTTTTTGGAATTTATGTATCTTCCACAGTTAAGTGACTGCAGCCTCCAGAAGGCCAAGAGCAGCCCAGGACAGAAATGATGAGGAACCCCTGGCCCTTCCCATGACGTAGGACTACACCTCTCATCATCCCCCAGCATACAGGCTATGCTCCTGTTGTGTGCCTTCAGGCTGTTTCGGACTTATGGTGACCCTAACATGAGGTTTTCTTGGGGACATACTAAAACAATGACAGTAGTTGTCCATAGGGGAACACTGGAGAATACTTGCCTATAGAGAAACATTGGGAATTACCTGCCCACAGGGATACATTGGGGACATACATGCTCATAGGGAAACATAGGAAACATCTCCCATGATTCCCTATGGGCAAGTATTCTCCTGTGTTTTCCTATGAGCAAGTAGTCTCCCATGGTTCTCTATGGACAAGTATTCCCATGATTCTCTATGGACAAGTAATCCCCATGATTTCCTATGGACACGTATTCCCCATGATTCTCTATGGGCAAATATGGTTTCCCTATGGGCAAGTACTGTCATTTGTTTTAGAACATCTCTTTTTCTTGGCAAGTATCTTCAGAGCACAGTTGTTGTTGTTGTTTTTTACCATGGCCACCCTCTGAAGCTGAGAGAGTGTGACTTGCCCAGGGTCACCCAGTGGGTTTCCCTGGCCAAGCTGGGACTCGAACCCTGGTCTCCAGAGTCACAGTCAATGCTCAAACCACTAGGCCTCAGCAGCAGCAGCAGCACTGCCGCCTCTGCCAGTAGGGCGACACCACAGATTTGCCTCCCGCCCCAGTTCTCCTTTCCTTGGTTCGCCATGGGGCCTGGAAATAAGGGCCGGCCCCGAAGGAGAAGCTCCCCAGGAAACCGCAGGAAGCGGCCAAGTCCCCCCAGAAGCGCCCCCCGGGAAGGATGGCTACGGATGACAGGCTTACCCGCAAGGAAATGGCGGCCCCCTCTCCACCGAGAGCGCCCCGCGAGAGAAAGAGCGAAGGAGGAAGCCGCAAGGCCTGATGGGACGCCGCTGGAGGGTCCTGGCAGATCAGAGCAGGTCCTTTCAGGGAAAAAGGAGGGGCGGGAGGTGGATCCCCTCACTTGCCCCGCCCTCTTTAGTGATACCTAAATAGAAGAAGACAGTGTGCTTTCACTGTCGGAAAACGGCTTTGTTAAAATATTTGGAATGGATAAGGTATATTAACTTCTGTTATTTTGGACAGCGACAGCCAGGACCTGGATACGTCATTTCCGACGAAACGTGCAGAAGCAGGAATGAAGCAGAGGTAAGAAAAATAGTAGAGGCATCTATGATAGTGTGTACGTAAGGAACTTCTGGGTTCTTTGTGGCAGGATAGTCCTGCAGCAGAAGCCGCTCAAACAGTGGCCTTTACTGTTGTTTGCCTTGTTTGTCAAGTAAAGGCAGCTCCTCAAACCTAAGATTTTGATCCCTTCTGGAAAATTTTG